TTTGAAATGCAACCGTGGACGCCAGCTGGCAGCGAAACTTGCAAATTCTGCAAATTTGCGTTCGTGCAGAAATTGCAAGTTTCTCAACATGAGAGAGAATTTGAGAGAATTTTTTCTTACTCTCTGATATTTTGAGTGTTGGATAATTCTTGCTGGATTTTCGACGAACAAACCTCTTGTCTTTTTGGTTCATGTCGGACTCGGACTAGTAAAACTGTCTCGCTCAGAGCGAGAGAGTAACATTGAAAAGTACGGGATCGCTTTCTAGTAAAAAATGGTAACTTCTGTCAACTTCAACATAACCTCCAAATTTTGGTTGTAAATTTTTGCTTATTTTGTATGTAAACACACTCATCTCATACATGTAAATAACCAAAAATACTTTCAAATTCATTAGAATCCACTTAAACAAGTAATTAAATACTTTTCAACATGAATTAGCAGATTGAACTTTTCTTTTGTTTACAATTTGGTTGCCAAACACACTACAGCTGATCGTTTGACACATTTACCAGAATTTACCAGCAAAAAATTCTCGGACCAAAACTGGTGACTTCTGACAGAGAGAGAACGGTATCTACTCTCTTTTTTGTCCTCTTAATAGTCAAAGAACCGAGTACGGGATCGATTTCCAGTAAAATCTGACTGATTCTGACTATTTCTGACTAGTCCGGACTCGTACAGGATCGCAACTTATGTTGAGGATGTGTATTTACACTGAAACTTTCAATTTTACAAAAGCTGAGCTAAAGCCAGCAGGACTCTTGCCATCGAAAACGGATCTCGTCCAGAGAAGCGTTTATTTTTGGCTGAATGTTGAATGTTATTAATAGATTGGCGAGTCCTTTAAGATCTACATCTTCTTCAATTTCCATTTTATATTGCATATTATTTATTTTATGTAAACCCCAGTCTTTCCCTTCAGATCTACAAAAAAAATTCAATAAAATTTACAAGAGCTGGGTCTATAAAAGGAATAATAGAAGCTGAACTCGCAGTTCCTCGCGCCTGGAAGTATTCGAGATATGACACGCATATTTAATGTTTACTTGTCCTAAGTATAATTTAGCTCGCTTCCTAGGTCTTTTTTAAATATCCCTTTTTAAAGGAAGGACTCGAAAAATTGTGTACTCACAAAATTATGTAGAATTTAAAAGTAAATTATTTTATATATTTCACAAGATTTATGAAAATTTAAAACAATGCTTGACCACACAGTATATTCAAAAATTGCTCTTCAATCAGATTGGCTTTTTATATAAGCGAAAAAGTGGAAAAATTAATTCAAATTACTTGCGGCAAAATCAAAATTTTTTCTTACAAATTAATTTTTTCGCATTGTTCCTGTTGTTGTTGTTGTAGCAGCATACAAATTCCCCAAAGACTTTCTGGGGAGTGTTGCTGTAGTGACAGTCCTTGGCCAGATATAAATCTGGGTCGTTCCGGTTACGTAGACTACTTTAAGCTCGTGTCATGATTGCAACTATGCATTTCTATCAAAAATTTCTTTTGGTGTGGGTAAGCTGGATATTTTGCTATGTATCTGCGAAATTACTTTTTCAGAATACGCTGACCCGTTTTTACTACTTTTGGCCGCTGTAGTCCCATTGTGCGCCGCCTTGAGGGACCCCTGTTTAATCCTACGCGGCTTGGACTTGGCGTTTCGAAATTCCACTGAAGCGACGAGTCCGGGACGTCTTGCCGGATCACCATGCCTTCAAAAGGTCGACTGCGACTACGACTATCAATACACAGGTCGACGTTGGTTCAGACTCTTACTAATCTGTGTGGTGATGGCGCTCAATGCTGTGGTTGTGCTCTGCATTTTCCGGAATCCATGCTGGTGTTCGTCTAGCTTGAGATGCTTCGTCAGGCTGGGGAGGAGTAGTGCTTCTATGCTTTTTGCCACTGGGTATAGGGGAACTTGGCGCTGTGGTTTTGCGCTTGCCACAAAGTCTACTATAAACGACGTTAAATAATAATTTTCTAAAAAGCTCAACGTCTTTTGACATTGTTATTTAAAAAAAAAAAAAAATCAAAAATATATAATGCATATGTACATATGTTTTTTGTTTAGATTTAATACCATTGCAAGTACATATATGAATATTCAAGTTCAAAACCGCCACCTTATTCCATTCCAATCTCCATAACATTACATTAATATAAAATTAAAATTAAGAAAGAGTATTTCATACTATATTTTATTGTTCTCTATGTGGAGGTACCCAGCCCCCGAAAGTTCGTTCCAACTCTTTGGCGACGTGTAGGCATAGTCTATCATTCATTTCCGATGCCACAACTTGTACACCCATAGGCATTCCCTTGTTATTCAAGCCCATCGGCACTTGTGTTACTGGCACGCGGAGAACATTGAAGATACTAAAGTAGCTAAAATCAGTGAATTTAACTAAGGGATAGTAATGGTAGGGGGCAGTGCGCGGCGAACTATGGAAAAACAATACACCATCGTCACCCAGAAGTTCATCCAGGGCTTTCTTGCAGTTTCGAGTTGCCTCGCGAATTTGTTGTTCCTTCTCCTCGGGTAGCAAAGAATCAATCAATGAGTAAATTGCAGCCATTGTGAAGTCACTACGCCCTAATAATTTCTTGAATAGTTCAATAAAGGGGTTTAAAGTTGCACCGTTGCCTAATAATTTGTTAAAGTTGGTTTTTTCCTGCGTCATCCAGTAACGCCACATTTTTCCCGATAATTCGAGATGCGGTAAGCTAGCCAATTTTACTTCCGCACCCGATAAGTTGGAAAAATGATTACAAATCTTGAACATGAGCATTTGCTCCTCGGAACCAACTGTATTACAATGCATCATATTATTACTTGGTATATAAAAATAACGCAAGTTTTTCAGATTAACTGCTTCATCTAAACGCAGTTGCTTTTTAAATTTTGGCTCAATGAGTACTTTTAAAATTGGTATCAAATCATCAGCATGCCGACTCATTGGTCCAGCGCTAACCATTGTGTTTTTCTCATCCCCACTGCGGAAAGTACAACCTCGCATGTTGACTACGCCTTCGCTGGGTTTATGCCCGAAAATCCCACAGTAGAAAGCAGGTATACGAATGCTTCCGCCGATGTCTGTGCCCAAACCGAACGCTGTACAACATGCACTGATTAACGATGCTTCTCCACCTGAAGAACCACCAACTGATCGCCTAAAATCATAGGGGTTTTTAGTTTGGCCTATTAATATGTTGCGTGTCTCTATCCATTTATTAACTTCAGGCACATTTGATTTCGCCAAAATGATAGCACCACTCTCCTTCATTAAACGTACACATTCTGCATCTCTTAAGCCTCGTTCGTTTCGGCGCGAAACCAAGCCAAGCGTATATAATTTGTTCGCTACTTCAGTGCTGTCTTTTGTAGTGAATGGTACACCAAGAAAAGGTTTCCTCTCCAATTCGTCATCTGTGATCTCGCCTTTTTGAAAGCGCTCATCAATAGATTTTGCTTCGTCTATAGCTTCTAAGAATGGTCCGTCTACAACAGCATTTATATCACGATTTACAGCTAATATACGGTCATAATAAGCCTTAACTATTTCGGAAGATCGCAACTTTCGTTCACGTATTAACCGAGCTAGTTCTACTGCGCTTTTCGTCAGCAATTCTTCCTGCTCCTTATTTGGCGGCACAGGTACCCTACGGGCCACTCCCAGAAACCATCCAAGTACAAATTCTAAAACTCGATCCAAAATTATATGTAGAAATGGTACAATAGTGGAAAAGGCCGCCATTATCCAGTTGATGGCAGATGACACGGCAAATTTTCAATAATCGGTTGATCGTTCAAAGACTCGCTCTGTACAATTAAAATATGATAAAATATTAGGTAAGCAAAGAGAAAATCAATAAATTAAATACTACCAGATTGCTTAACTGCATACGTAGCTATATATAGATGTATGTAAGACTGTATGCTTTGCCTTGCATAAAGCGAAAAATTAATAATGGCACTTATCTTGCACGTTACTTCCTATCACAGGTAAACGACCGGTTTCCTCTGCTCAAGAAAAAGAAATGATAATATGAGATAATGATAATTGGGAAATTAGGACTTCATTAGTGGACAGTGATGTTAACATCCTCTTACGTACCTTATAATTTTTACTTTGTATGCCCTAAAGTCTAAGGGCCAATACGCGAAAAAAGGTAAGTAGTTTGAAAAATATTGCAGATTGCGGTTAATTTCCAATTAGTAATTAGAGGTTTGAATTATTGGCTGATAATTAGAAATTGTCTTGTATTTGAAACATAGGAAATTACATATATACCTAAGTAGGGCAACACTGAATTGGTGAATTCGCCGCATTTCCCGTGGAACTGTCGCCGCAGTGTTGTTTCGTATATGTTGATTGATTTTGCTACTGTTTTGTTTCTTTTGGTCAACGCATAATAAAGTAATCGCTAGGGGCTAGTGTTTTTAACTTATTTGTAATAATTTAAAAATAAATGAGTAAAATCCAAGCAATTGAGCGAATTGTTGTGAAATAAATTACATTTACAGCAGGTAAGTGTAGCTTTACTGAATTTAACTGAATACATACATACATAATTGTATGTACATATGTGATTTTGCGGAAGTGGGGGGCGGCGGAAAACTACTTACATTCAAACATACCTATGTGCATGATTGAGCTCATCCATCAGGTGCAGTTAAACGAGTTCCCTGATTTACATTTTTTCCATGCGAAACTCATTTAGCAGATTCCTTATGTGACAACTCTCATGCAACGCCAAGTATGCATAACTGAGCTAAAATATGCATAAAAGCGCAGATCCATTTGTACAAATATATGTATGTTTACAAAGCCATACATGGTATAAACAAAATAAAGGTGTTCCATTTGTCGACACCACCTAATATAATGTAAATAGTGAGGTTCGAAGCTAACTAGAGATGTATTAATACATGTCGCACTCTAAATTAAAAAAAAAGTCACAACTTTACATTTTACAAAATCGATTTTTCCCCATAAAAGAATTCATGGGCCCTATTTCTATAGTCCGCCAAAATTTCTTCTCATTATTTTTCTTTAACTGGAAAACCCCTACTAACAGGTCTCTCTATTCTGCGCTGGTAATAAAAATTTTGTAGCCGGTAAATAAAGTTCCTGTAAATTTTAAACCCTTTTCGCATTCTGGGTACTCTTGTAACCGATAAATTTTATTACATGTCATAAGCTGGTAACAAAATATTGTCCCGTGAAATATTCCACAAATCTTCATAGCTGAATTGCTGAATACCAGCGTACCTAGAATCGCGGTGACAAGAACTAGTAAAATTTTTTGGTAACAAAATTTTCCGGTTTAAAAACCTTCGGTGACATGCAGGATAGACCTGTACACAACCCTCTCCCCGGTTTCATCCTCTCTCCAAACGAAACGTGTGAGGTTTTTCAAAAAAGGACACCTGTCAACCCTGGTTGTGACACTTTTTGATTTAGGGTGCGATATATACATAGTGTATTTAGAAGGATAAAATACGTTGCATAAGAAGCAGTGAAAAATCGTTATATTAACTATCTTGCCAGTATATATGTACATATATATACATATGTATGTTTATTTACATAAGGAGATATGTATGTAATTCGTTCTTACTTACATACATATATGTATATGCATGTACTTACATATGTGTGTGTTTTATTTACAAAGTGCTAGTACAGTGCAATCCGGTTATAATGGCTCCATGGGACCGCGTCAAATTCAGAAATAAAATCAGAATATTATATTTTTAAATAACAAAGAAAAAATATATAAGTATGTATAAATTTAAAATTGTATACTTATCATGCAAGGAAAATGCCCATTTTTCGTTCCATTTTTCTTAAAGTGAACAAAACACATATCAAAAACCAATGAACCATCACAGTCTACCACATAAGCTGATTGACAGATTTCGGTGAACCAATGAACTTTGTTGAAGTATATAGCCCCTCTTTACTGAATTCGGGGAATTATCGAACGTTGTTTATTGCAGTTTTTTTTTTAATTTGACCTTGACAACCTCGGTTATAATGGACCAAACCCGATATTTTTGTCCATTATGGGTGGAGTCCGTTATAACCGTTTTTTTTTTCATATGCTTGAACTGGGACTTGACAAATTGGTACGTAATAAAAGAGGTTCCACCTTAAGCGAGTCCATTGTAAGTGCATTACACTGTATATACAAACATATGGTTGATTACACTGTGCGACAGCCGAAACCAACCCGAACTTTGTTAACATTTTCCGAAAGTATACCTATTCAGTAGTAAAAGACTCGATGGATTTTGAACAGTTAGCTCGTATTTTTATTTTATGGCTACTAAAGTTTTCATGTCTCGGCCTAAGTAGTTTTCAAAAAAGTAAAAACAAAATGGTTAAAATAAATATCTGAGTAATATTAAAGGTTAACCCATACCAAGTTTTTTTATTGATTTTTTATTTTTTTTTTTTTAACGTTGGTTTTAAGAAGCTTTTGCCTGAGAATACCCCTAGTAAAATTCCCCGAAGAATAATTTTCTAGAATATATCAATCCTATAACGACCTTCCAAATTTGCTTTTTGCGGGGTTTAGTGAACGGGTGGGAGCTAATGGGTTAAAATGTTGTACGAAAATATTTCCTATGAAATTTTACTATATCGTTCGATTGAAGTGTGGAATGCAATTTCTCAAAAACGCGAGGATAGAATCTCTCCAAAGTCTCAGAAAATTTTACTAGGTCGCTAAATTCCTAAATTATTTAATATTTGATGTTTATTGTTAATTAGTTTTGAGTTTATGAAGGATTTTATTTAGTAAAATTTTGTCGTAAGCGTCATTTATCCACAATTTGGCAGCCACATGGTATGAAATACGACAAAATGTGATCAAAATTTCTACTAAATTAACGACACTTTATACTCAATACCTCGAAAACTAAAGGAGATATCCAAAAATGGAGAACGCCGTTTTTAAGATATTGATTGCACCGCTAACTAAATTTTTACTAATTTATAGAAAAAATTTTAGTCAATATCTCGGAAACTAAAGGAGATATCTAAAAACAGATAACACCAATCGAAAGACCTTATTTCAAAATATATAACTGCATCTATAACTACAAATCGTCAAAATTGCGCTTACGACAATCTTTTACCCAGGTGTCGATATATGTATGTATGTCTTAACCTATAAAAAATACGAGGGTGGGCTTAGTATGCAGCCGCACTCCTTGCTTTAAGTAAACCAGGTGAAGGAGAAGCTCGGCCAAGCACTAGCATATCGTCACTAGGCAGGAATAAAGGCGCGCCATGGTTTTGACGGCGAAAAAGGATGCATTGGCGAAAAAAGACAGCGAATAAAGCCGCGTAAACATAGATTTATACCTAGCCAAGGACTGTCACTTCAGCACTATTCCTCAAAAACTCTTTGGTCAATGTATATACTATTACACCTGCAAACATAGTTGACCGCGAAAATTAGTTTACGCGTCTTTCTTCACCGTCTTTCTCCACCGTAAAATAGGTTCACGCATCTTTCTTCGCCGTCGGATAGGTTTAGCCGCCTTTCTTCGCTGAAGTTTTTTATGCGTCTTTTTTCGTGGTCAATTTTTGAGCTCGCGCCTATTCTACAACCTTCATCCCCCTTTTTTCTAAAGTTTGCCGCCCGCATACTAGAATTTTTCCCATGGTCAAATCTATGTATGTTTCTATAAAAATCAGGTTTTAAATTTCTTTTGGTATCAAAGTAATGGGAATTTGAATGGGCACTGGCCCCGAT